TGAGGAGGAGGAGGGGGCGGAGGAGGGAGGAGACGGAGGAGGTGGAGAAGGAAGAGGAGGAGGAGGCGGCGAAGGGGGAGGAGGGGGAGGAGGAGAAGAGGAGGAGGGGGAGGAGGAGGAGGAGGAGGAGGAGGAGGAGGAGAAGGAGGATAAGGAGGAGGAGGAGGAGGAGGAGGAGGAGGAGAAAGAGGAGGAGGAAAAAGGAGGAAGAGGAGGAGGGGGAGGAGGAGGAAGAGGAGGAAGAGGAGGAGGGGGAGGAGGGGGAGGAGTGATGAGGAGGAGGACGAGGAGGAGGAACAGGACGACGAGGAGGCGGAGGAGTCACACCCCGCGGGGCCCGCTTCTCGCCCGTCGTGTTTCTTTCTGCAGGCTCGACTCTGATCAACCTCCCCCGGGGGCGGCCGCCCCTGGGGGGGGCAGCATCCTATGTGGATCCACGTGCCCGCAGCGTCAGTATGAGGGGGAGCCAATCCAGAGTCCATCGTCCTATCGCCGACCGCCCCGAGCATTTCCACTCCACTCCCACGCATTCCCAGCGACGCCGATCCCGACCCGTCCCGTCCAGCCGTATCACATCCCACCCTGCGTCTCTGGACGCGAGGGCGCCGGCACATCTACAGACAAGGCCCGCGCCTTCTAAGAGGCAGGGGTGCTTCTGAGAAGCCTTCCCCCCTCCCCATGCCCCCCCTCTGCGCGAGGCCGGCGTTAGTCTTCGTACCCATTCTTTCCGTACCCATTTTGGTCCTCCAGCGCATCCCGCGCCGTGTCCTGCCCACCTCCCCCCCCGTGATCCACCGCCGCCTCAAAGCTGCAGCCCAGCGTGGCCGAGGGCTGCCCCTGCAGGGATGCTCCGGGGGGGGCGCTTCGCTCCTGCGCGCGCGTGCTGGCAAGAGGGAGGGCCGTACCAGAGCTGTGTCTGCCCAGGCCAGCCTGAGAGCCGGCGAGGCCGGCAAACGCCCACGGGGGCCCTGCAGATCTGCAGCACAGCATGCAGATCTGAAGGGGCCCTGGGGCCCTGGGACACACAAATAAATACACACAAATAAACAGATTCCGAATATTTGCCCATATTTTCGGGGTTTCTGTCTTCCCCCCCACTTCCCATATTTTGCCATGTTTTCTGGGGAGTCGACGATGAACTGTGTCTGCGTGTTTTTCCCCCCCTGAAGATCACAGGCTTGAGATTGTCAACCGTCGTGTCGTCGGGGTCCTGCATGCGATGCGGCTGCTGGGCCCCCGCCAGGGGGAGCTCTGGACCCACCGCCATGCCCTGCGCCGCGTGGGCGCCGGCGCTGCCGCCGCGGGCCGCGGGGTCGGGCTCCTGCTCGTGCCCGCCGCAGCGCGCGCGGAGGCGGCGCGGAGGCGGCGTGGCGGGGCCGCCCCCCGATGCAGGCTCGCTGGGAGGCCCGCCGGGGGGCCCAGGAGGAAGGAGGTGCGCGCGGCCGGGGGCTGCGAGCCGCGCGCCTGGACCTTGCACCCCCGCTTCCCGAGCGTCTCCCCGCGCGGTGAGACGCAAAGCAAGATCCGTCGACGGGAGGCTTTTGTCTCGCTAGGTTCGGCCTCTGGGGGGCCCTTCCCGGGCCTCGGGAGCGGCAAGAGAACGACTCAGGACGCAGGACCGGTTCCCGGGCAGAGGTCCAGGCTCCTGGGAGCACGTCGCGAAGAAAACCAAGACGCCGGACGTCGGGGGTCTGGGTTTCCCCGCGCCCGCTTCCCTGCCTGCTTCTCTCTGCCACAGGGCTGCGCTGGATGGTAACAGGTGTGTGTGTGTGTGTGTGTGTGTGTGTGTGTGTGTGTGTGTGTGTGTGTGTGTGTGTGTGTGTGTGTGTGTGTGTGTGTGTGTGTGCGTGCGTGCGTGCGTGCGTGCGTGCGTGCGTGCGTGCGTGCGTGCGTGCGTGTGCGTGCGTGCGTGCGTGCGTGCGTGCGTGCGTGCGTGCGTGCGTGCGTGCGTGCGTGCGTGCGTGCGTGCGCGTGCGTGCGTGCGTGCGTGCGTGCGTGCGTGCGTGCGTGCGTGCGTGCGTGCGTGCGTGCGTGCGTGCGTGCGTGCGTGCGTGCGTGCGTGCGTGCGTGCGTGCGTGCGTGCGTGCGTGCGTGCGTGCGTGCGTGCGTGTCTGTGTGTCTGTGTGTCTGTGTGTCTGTGTGTGTACGTGCGTGTCTGTGTGTCTGTGTGTGCATGCGTGTCTGTGTGTCTGTGTGTGTGTGCGTGCGTGTGTGTGTGTGTGTGTGTGTGTGTGTGTGTGTGTGTGTGTGTGTGTGTGTGTGTGTGCCGAGCGAGCCGTCCCAAGACATGCGAGACGTGCTGATGTTTGTCGGCACGGTCCCCGAAGGAAGTCCCGGCCCGTTCCCCAGGACTGGTTTCCCCTCGCGAGTCGTTCTCGGGCGGTCCCGGGGCCCCGTCGGGGCCCCCAAGGGAGGCCGAAGACTGCCCAAACCCTTCCGCCGTGACTTCTCCACGGCGCGAGCATGTCTCTGCCGCTCCCCCGAGGCCGGGGGGGGGGGC